AAGCACTGCACCTTTCAGAAATCAACAGTGTGTTTTTTTCCACTGTGCCATATACACATTTAAATATATACAGGGAAAGAGTTGGTCACACTCCAGCTTCCCACTTGATTGAAAAAACCTCATGTGTCCAGCCTGAGGGTCTCTGTGCTTCTCTGAGCAGAGCAGCAGGAGGAGCTCAAATGCTCACACAGCCATCGAGGCCATCAGTGGGGACAGAATCACAGAAAGGGTAGGGTTGGGAGGCACCTTAAAGCCCATCTCATTCCTTAAAGCTCACCTCATTCCGCCTCCTGCCATGGGCAGGGACACCTTCCACTCTCTCAGGTTGCTCCAAGCCCCATCCAACCTGGCCTTGAACACTCCCAGAGATGGGGCATCTGCAGTTCCCCTGGGGAACCTGTTCCAGGGCCTCACCACCCTCGCAGTAAGGGATTTTTTCCTGTTATCCCATCCAAGCATCTTCAAGGAAACTCTGGAAAGTTGCTCTGAAGTAAAAATCCTCCTCAGCACACAGGTTATGCCTCAAGACTACATGCAAGACCTCTGGTGCATCCTCTCTCCTCCCTCTCCTTGCAGGTTCATGTGAGAGTGGGTTTTGCAAGAAGAAAAATCCTCCTCTTTCCTCCTAATCTTCTGCTTCTGAAGAACCTTGTGTGCCTTGGGAGCATTCCTGCCAGGAAGATGTTTTTTCCAGTTTTTCTTTTATCTTCTCCATTTCCCAGTAATACCCATCCCCATGCTGGAGCACTCTCCAAACTAGAAGGGGTAAGTGTGGGGAAGACTCCTCAGAATTATTCTAACAAATATACTTTTTGTTTGGTTGGTTTTTGTTTTGGTTTGGGTTTTTGTAGAAACAGAGTTTTGTGAGCATTTAGGCCCCTGGCACAGGAACTCCATAGTCTTGGTTCTCTAAGAAACAAAAACCCAAAAATATTAAATCAAGAAATCCCATTTTCCCCTCCATCCTTTTAAATCTTCTTTCATTGGTTTGGAGCCAGGGAGTCATTAACTCCTGGTTGGGTACTGCAAGGCCAGAACTGTGATGTGCTTAGTGGCAATGCCATAAAAACCCACTCATTCCCATACCAAAGGGCTTGTGTTCTTAAAGAATAACCTGTTGGGATAATGCCTTAGAAGTGCATTAGTTGATCCTGATGCTCCTTCATCTGCATTTTCCCCCCTGGAGCATGTTTGAAGGTGTTCAAATAATTTTTAAAACTTATTCGGTGGGATTTTAATCCTTAAGTAATGGCTGAGCTCCACAGAAATATTTACATAGCCACCACCCAGCACACTCAAGGATGTAGAGCAGAGGAATAGCCAGGAGCTGGTCTGGTCCTGCATTACTTCATTCCCAGGAGTGGAAAGCCCAGACTCAGCTGCAGACTTCTCCACAGACCCCATTCTGCCCCTTCCTTCCCTGCAAAGCCTCATGGCCATCCCCACAAATACTGAATTTGCAGCTAAATGAAGCCCTGAACCACCTGCTCCAGCTCAAGGCCACAGCAAAGGGCATCATCTCCAGACATAAGCTGGCTCCTCACACTGCTTATCCAACCCCATCAGAAGGCTGGGGGGCACTTTTCCCCCCTGGCAGAGCCTAATTCTGTGTCTGGGCTGCAGTCAGTGGCTGTGGCAGCAGAGCACCACAGCTCACTTCCAGCTGCTTCTTCCAGTCTGGGCTGTGCAAAGAGCAGCTGGGGGTCATCAGGGTCCCACTGTGCCCCTTTGGGAGCCCCTGCCATGGTGGGGGTGAAGCACAGGGTGCCCAGAGAAGCTGGGGCTGCCCCTGGATCCCTGGAAGTGTCCAAGGCCAGGCTGGACAGGGCTTGGAGCAGCCTGGGATAGTGGAAGGTGTCCCTGCCCATGGTAGAGGGGTAGGACAAGATGAGCCTTAAGGTCCCTTCAGAGGCAAACCACTCTGTGATTGTGTATCAGAGCAGTTTTACAGCTCTGTCAGCAGCTGCACACAAAGGTCTGAGCTGAAATGAGGCCCAAAATCAGAGAGATGGCAGGGTGCAGGTTTGTGTGCTTTGAACAGGGAATGAAATCCATCCAGCCACCAGCAGTGACCAGCAGGGAAGGGACACTGCTCTCCTGCCCTCCCTGCACACAGCCTGCCACATTCCCAGGCATTTTTTGCCTGGGGAGAGCGAGTGTGCCCCTGACCCTGCACCAGCCCAGCTTGGTCCCAGGAGGGGCCATTACAGACACTGTCACCTTTGTAAGAGCCCCTGCAAACAAAGGGACCCTGGGACGCCACTAACGAGCTGGCTGCCACTCTTTGAGGCTTAACGAGAGAAACTTGAGCTACAACGGGCTCTGGAGTCACAACGGTGAGACCATTTCATCTGTCAGTGCTTCAATTTGTCTGTGCTGTGCCCTGCTGTTCCAGCATCTCTGGCTCCGTGAGCCTCTTCAGCGCTGCCTGCAATACCCCTCCCGGCTTCTTTTGCTGCTCCAGTCCTGCCTGGCAGTGCTTTACACCCTGGAGGAAGTTTTTTAACTCCCATCCATCCTTTAAAAGCTTTGCAAATTCATCACATCATGTACAGCTCCTCATCGTGGAAGAAAAGAAGTGGGTGTTTAGCTTATTTCACTGGTAATAGCAGAAAATGGTCTATTGCAGCAAAGAATTTGTCCAAACAAGCTGTGAGCCATAGCATTCCTGCAGATAAAATCCAGCTCGTTTTAGTGCCCTGGAAGCACTCTACAGGTATCCACAATTGAAGCATCATTGTACTTTAGATAAATGTGCTGCTTAAAGATAGCTGTCAGCAGAGGCTGCTGAATAATGCCTTCATTTTACACACTCAAATTGTTCCCCAGGTTATTGGCAACACCTCAGGTTGGTAGTGTGACAGTAGAAAAACAGTCAGCATGATGGTGGAGGAGCAGGACCCTGACCCTGTGGCACCCACTGGGCTTCCAGCAGTGTTAAAGGGCTTTAATAGGTTACACCCAAGTTACTGCATTTATTAGTTGTCAGTCATCAGCCTTCCATCAATCTGCTCTGGTGGAGTCGTGTCTTTGCTGTGCTCAGGTCACACCACTGGAGGTTCCACACTTCAGTTACACACTGTACTCACAGAAACCCCAAATAAGCAGATTTTAAGCCTGCCTAATAGCATATATTCTTATATAGTATTACAGTTACAACAAGTATTTATCACAGAGGGAATGCTGCTTCCCTCTGCCTTTTTTTTTTTTTGCTCTTCCTTTACTCACCTAAAAGAATCTTTGAGCCTTAAGAGACTACTACATGTTATAGCCTTATCTCTTCAAGGGCAGAGAAGCCTTTCTAAGGCTCCCATTCCTCTTTCACACATATTTATTTAAATTAAAGTTATAAGCACCTTTATTGGCTCATAACTCTCGATTATTTTTTTCAGGCTTTAGCCCCTACTTCTTCATCTGATATATAACTTCAATAACAATTTCAGTTCAGCTCTTTCTTCAACAGCCAGCCCTAGAGCACAGCAGCCTTTAGCTGCTCTACCTCTCCCTAGGTGCCTCTGGTGCATCCCCACCCTTGGGCTGGGGCTCTAAATAAGCTCAGCCTGGGGGCTTTTCTGCTTTCTAAGCCTTGAGTAGAAACACTAATCTCCAGCTCAGCTCAGCAGTCAGCCTGGCCTTAGACCCTGCTGCTCTGGGCCTGGCCAAGCTGTTTCTTTCCCTGGACCTGATTCCAGCCTGGGGACTGATTGACCCCCTGCACTTCAGACCTGTTCCATCCCTGCAGAGGTGCCTGATGCCTGCCTTCTCAGGGGATGCTCAGCACTCTCTCCTCCCGCTCCAAGAGGAGGTAAAACCTTGGCTACTTATTTTATATTCTAATGCCAGCAATTTATCACCATTTGCTGCTCTTGCTGAACATTTTCCACTGCCCAGGTGGTTCCTGGGTGGCATCTTTCCTGGAGCAGTGCTGTTTGTCCCAGTGCTTTTTGCACTGAGGGCAGCAGAGGCTGGGGGGCTCTGTGGGATCTGCTGCTCCTCTTCCCCCACATCTGGATGGCAGCAGGCACCCTTGGGATCTGTTTCCCATTTGTGCTCCTGCAGCTGAGCCTTGGCACCCCATGTGGAAGCTGCTGAGTGCTGTGGCAAGGCTGTGCCCCCCACCCAGGCTTCCTTCTCAGCAGCACAGGGGTGCAGTCAGCTCTGGGGGTCTGCTCCTGCCTGCTGAGCACTTTGTTCCTGCTCCTCCTGAACAGATGCTCCTCAGCCTATAAATAAATTTGGGAAAGGAGGGGGCATTGTTGGCCCGGGTGTTTCACTCCCCTGCTAGGTAGAGTTAACTGAGGGGGGGAACATTGTGACTACCCACAGGGTGTTGCCTTTTTCAGCAGCTGTGAAGGATTTCTTCAGTTCCTCAAAATGTCTGGAGTTTTAGTACTTACAACCAGCAAAAATTGGCGTGGAATATCAACGGAGCACAGCTTTCAGAAACTCATTTTCTTTTTCCTTTCAAACTGACAATAGGATTTTAAGAAAAACTTTGAATAATGGATATACTTTTGAATAATGGATGTTTCACAGCCAAAGTCCCTTGACTTTTCATTCTGTGCCTGAATGAGAAGCCTTTTAATTGCACAACACGTGGCGAGGAGGTACAAAACGCTTTGTGTCTTGTGCTGCTGATTAACTGATGCATACACTCCCATTAAACATTCAGAGAGGGCTAAGTGTATCCCAGCCCGAAGCTGTGTGCTATGCACGTTGGGTTTTTATCAGCTAAGACGCTGGCATGAGATGTTTTGTGATTTTCCTTGTCTCTGTCATGGCTGCTCATTATTTTCCCTCTTTTGTGTGTGTGTGTGTGTGTGTGTGTGTGTGTGTTCTTTGGATCTTTTCTCTTTCTGGGGAGGCATTATTTCACCTGGAGAGCTTGTAGCTTGTGCTCTGGGCTCATGCAATGGGCTGTGAGGTCACCTTGTGAAGTGAAGACTCCTCAGCTGAGACTGTGGAATAAACTCTGCTTTCCAAAATAGCAGTGGGGTTGGTTTTTTTATTTGGTTCATTTGTTTGGTTTTTTGGGGTTTTTTTGCAAGGGTTTTCCTGAGAAATGGTGAAAGAGGTGCCTGGTGCCTTTGCCAGGCTGGATGTTCTGTCATGGTGAGGTGGAGAAGCTGCAGTGCATGGAGCAATTTGAGCCCCCTGGAAATGACTGGTGTGGGATGCAGGCAGGGGAATTAGCAGGAACAGCAGTGGTCTGGGTCTTTGTTGCTCTCATCCCATCATGTTGCTGTCTGTCCCTGCAGCTGGCTCTTCTCCAAGTTAATTCAGCTTTCATGAAAGTTTAACTCTGCTGCAGAAGGGAAAAGACAAGTCACCGTGCCCCTGAAAAATGTAAAGGGTGGTTTGGGGTCAAGTTTTTTTTGTCCTCAGTTTCCCCAGGTCTTGGTGCAGTGCCCAGCACTTTGAGTGAGCCCAGATGGGCTCAGCAGAGTGAAACCCTGCTGTGTTAGTACTTCTCTAACTTCTGTTTGCACAAAAAGAACCTCCAACAAACCCCAAAACTTTAAACAATGACTCCATCACCTCCCCAGTTTTCTTTCCAAGCCCAAATTCAAGCCATTGAGGACCAAACCTCAATGAATAAATGCTGCTGGAGCCTGGCTCTGTCCTGCTCCCAGCCCTCTGTGTCCTGGCTGTGAGGGGTTTCAGCTCAGTTTATAGAGTGAAAGCCTCTGAATTTGGAGTATTTCAACTGTTGGGATTATCCCACAGCAGACCTACAGAGGCAGCCTGGGGTGGCACAGAGGGCTCCCTGCTATCAGGATTTTCTCTTTCACTGAGGGGTTTTTGTGGTCCTTGCCTCTTCAAGCCATGGGAGGCTGCCAGCAGGGTTTCTGGCTTTAAGCAGAGCTTGTTCTCTCTCAATTTTGCAGCTTCTTGCCTTCGAGTACAACTGCAATTTAGCTTTATTTCACAAAATTTGACATGACTTGAGACCGTGATTTACTGGCCTTGGAGGATACGGTGTGTGTAACTGTGCAGGGCGTAAGTGGCTTTTCATGGCAGAGGAGTCATAAATTGAGATGAAAAAAAGAAAAGAGGGAAATGGGTTAGTGTCCAACTTTACAAGGCAGCAGTAGGAGCAGGACCCAGCCAGGCGATCTGTAACTGTCACGGCTCTTTATTGCCCCTGATTGCCTGTAATAAAGCTCCTCCAGCAGTGCTCGGGTGGCTGAAGAGACACAAGATGGCAATGTTTTCAAAAGGACACCCTGCAGCTTCCCGGGGCTGAAGATGTCCAGCTGATGAGCTTTCCCTGCTCTGGCACTTGATGGGGACCTTGGGAAGGGTCTGTGTCTGGTCACTGAATCCATGGCCACCAGGAAAGGAGCCTGGGGGTGATGTGCAAGTCTCTGGAGCTGCCCTGGCCTCCTGCTCCAATCCAGAGCTGGGCATCCCTGCCCTGCTTCTCCATGGCACACACACCAGGAGGTGTTGTGGCAGCACTTGTGGCCACTGGGCTTTCTTCTTTTAACATCTGCACCCCCTCTTTGCCTTCTGTGCCCTCCACACCTTCCAACAGACCCAGATCCACAAGGACATTTTAGAGCAAGGAGATTTTAGACAAGGAATAACAACCTTCTCTTGGCTTTTTTATTTTTTTTCCTTGGTTTGGCTTGGTACTTAACACCACAAGAATAGCTGCAGGATTTGTCCCACTTAAAAATTAATTTTCCCTGGTTGAGCAGGGGGTGGTGTGGGGCAGGTGGAAGAATTGCTTCAGCTTTGTTGGTTTTTTTTTTTTTTTCTTCTTTTGCATTTGGCTGACAAATATTTCTGGGTCCCTTGGTATTATATGTTAATTTTCAGCTTAAAGGTTGTAAGGCATTGCAGTGTGGTACAGGAAGGGGTGGTGTGACAGGCTCCAGGCTGCCTGTGCTCGTTTTATCCGCAAATGGCTGCATTTGCAATGTGTAATGATCTCTGTAAGGCAGTTAGAAGTGAGATAAACATCAATTTTATGGCTGGGAAAACATAAGGGGTGTTGCACAGGAAAACGAGAGGACCTGAATACTGAAAACTCTCCGGGCTCCTCAGTGCTGTTGGGTTTAGCTCTTGTCTCTCCATGGGTCCCTGTGCATCCCAATCCCTCCCGGTGCTGGGTCCAGGCAGGTGAGGTGCTGCAAGGCAGCCCTGAAGGGATGCAGGAGCTGCACAGCCTCTCCTTTAAGGGTGGGGGATGCAGGTAGCCAGGACTTGGCATTCACAGCCAGGTGTTAAGTGGGAATGAAGTAAGACCAAGATTAGGAAGTTTTTTGGGATTTGTTTTGTAACAGGAGCTCCCACAGAAGGCTGAGGTCACGGTTCTGCTGCCTCCAGACAGGGGATGTGTTTTGAGTTTCACAAATAACAGCTTTTTTGCAGCTCTGTTTCTTCACCAGATACAATGCCGGGTACAAAATGCTTTTTCCTAATATGCTGAATGCCTCTGGAATGCAATTAATATTCTTGCCTAAGTCTCCAAAAATTAATAGGCGTGTCTGGAAGCTGCTGAACGCGGCTGTGTGTGTGCAGGGGGGTGGTGGGGAGGGACAGCTGAGTCCATCCAAGCTGCAAACAGCCTCACGTGGGGAAGGAGAGTGCAAAACCACGGGTGGGAGCTGGAGCTCACAGAGGGGCTGCAGGAGAACGTGGAGTGTCCCAGGATGGGCAGATCACACCCACAGACCCCATCTCAGCTGCTTTGGGGGACACCACCTTGCTGCCACCAGCATGCCCCTGGCCTGGCAAGCTCCAAGTGCCACCCCCTAGCCGGAGCAAGGGCTCTCACAGCTCCTTCCCTTTGAGCCTGAGAGGGGTGATCGAGCTAATTATTAATTAGCTGCCGTTGAGACTGATTGGGGATGAGGGCTCTCCCCATGTGGTGCAGGTGCTCAGCCTGTCTGGGAACCTGAGCCTGGGTGGTTTTTGTTTTCTTGCCCTGTGTGACGTGAAATAGGCTGCCAAACGTCTCAAAAGCTGGCAGCATGTTCAGGGTTGGTGTTTTTTTGCTGTGTAGAATATTTAAGATGAGTTTTCAGATTTTATGTAGCTCATCTGCTACTTGCATTTCTGCCCTGCATGATGCTCAAGACAACTCCACAAAAAAACAACATTTGTTTACATATGTATTTTTCACATTTATAGGGGGCTGAAGCTCAGAGATTAACAAAGCTTCCTATCAATTCTGCTAAAAAAAAAAAAATAAACCTCATCTCAGAACCAAGTAGAAACAACATAAATCACCTCAAAATAGCTTCAGGTACTGAAGCTACCTGAATTTTTTCTCTTGGGTTACAAAGGTTTCACATGAGGTTGGGTTTTCAGTGGGGGACTGACCTGAGAGCCTGGAGCTGTCTGTGATCTGTGCCCCAAGGAGCTGCACAAACAGCGAGGGCATGAAGAAAAATGTTTTCCACCTAATCTTGTTACTGTAACAACACCAGTGAAATCTTTTAAAGCAGAAAAATGTGATGTTTTAACGTGATAGCGGTGTCCCTTCAGCTCTGTGACAAATGCTATCTGCTGCCTGCATTGCAAGAGTCCTGTAAGCTTGATGGCAGTCCTGGGGCACAGGGCTTCCATTTCCAAGAGAGCTATGACTCCTTTAAAATAGTAATTTTTTGGCCAGATGTGATGACGTTGAAAGGTTGTCCTTTTCTTCCCCTTTCTAGCCCATCTGAGCCTTTTTTCTCTGTTTTTTTTTTTTTTTCTTCTGTCTTTTTATTCCCCAGCTGCTTTCCTTGGCTCTTTCTTTTTCCAGCACACTTTCCTGCTTTTGCCCTAAAGTTGGTGTTTCCCATCCAGTTTAAACCACTTCTGCTCAAAGCTTTATGTTGGTGGTAGAGTTTCTCACCTCTTCTTCCCTAGCAAGAACAGGAACTGAGTTTCCACACATCTCAAACACAAGCATCACAAGCTGCAGCTGCTTTTGTGCAAGAGGAGCTCCTAAATCTTCCTTGTAATCCAAACCTCCCAGGTTAGGCTGGCAGCAGCAGCCTGAGGATCACAGAGATGGAGTAGTTTGGAGAGGACTTTTAAAGGTGATCCAGTCCAACTCCCCTTGCAGTGAGCAGGGACATCTTCAACCAGATCAGGTTGCTCAGAGCCCCATCCAGCCTGACATTCAACACTTCAGGGATCCAGGGGCAGCCACAGCTTCTGTGGGCAGCCTGTGCCAGGCCTCACCATCCTCTTCCTTATATCTAATTTAAATTGACTCCCCTTTTCAGCATCTTTACATTATGCTGATTGAGCCCTGCAGGCTCCCAGTATAGATTTGTGTTGTTGGAAACATCCAGCAGTCACCTTTTGGCTAAAAAAAACGAAAATAATTAGCCAGAAACCAAGTGGAATTATGTTATTTGTATTTATGAAATATCCTATCAATTTGTGTATTTTTACAGTGTGACTCTCATAGTTCCTAGGGTTCCTTTCTTGCTTCCCCTGAGCCCTGATCTGTCCATCACAGACCTTTTACTTCAAAACCTCCTGAAGTTTTGAAGGGCAGCTGTGAAATGAAGAGGAGATGCTTAATTTCATTCTGCTGCAGCAGCCCAGCAGCACGAGGACAGCTCTGCCCTGGTTTGTGTTTCTCCCAGTCGGATTTCTGTATGGCTGAGTGCTCAGGATATTTTTTTACTTGAAATCTTGAATTCTGCAGAGATCGAGTGCTTATTTCTCAGGAACACCAGGGAAAATTTCTTACTCTCCCAGCAGGGTGGAAATTTCAAGGTCTGAAGCTATAATATATGTAGTCTTTCAACATCATTAAAGGAGGGGGTTTCTGACGGTGCCACCATGATGCAAAGCAAACTCTGCTGCCTGTGAATCCCAAATCAGTCAGTGCTGTGATGTGACAGTCGAGGTAATTTGGAGGCTCTGGGAACGAGGGAGAAGGTGAGACATCACTAAACTGCTGGGTGGGAGATGATGGACCTTGCATCTCGCTTTAAATGTGGTTTTCTATGGCATCATTTGCCTTAATTTGCTCATTTTCTCAGTTTTTAAGGACAGGGTCTCAGTTCAGGACAGCATCTCCAAGCAGGAATCTCTGGTCACTTGAGAACAAGGCCCTTATAGTGTTGTAATGACTGAGATGAGGCAGTGCTGGGGTGGAGCCCAGCTCCATCCTGCCCAAATTTTGCCCTGGGCAGGACATGGTGGGTTGGACCTTATTTGCTTGACCTGTGGCTGGGTCTGAATTAAACCAGTCAGGTTTTATTTATTACTATTATTATTATTTAGGAGATGTGAGGATGTATCAAGGAAGACACTTCATAGTATCCTGGAATGCTTGGGGTTGGAAGGAACCTTAAAGATTATCCCATTACACCCCTGCCATGGGCAGGGACACCTTCCACCATCCCAGGCTGCTCCAAGCTCTGTCCAGCCAGGCCAGGGACACTTCCAGGGATCCAGGGGCAGCCACAGCTTCTCTGGGCACCCTGTGCCAGGGCCTCCCCACCCTCACAGGGAACAATTCCCTCCTAACATCTAATCTAAATCTCTGCTCTTACAGCTTAAAGCTGTTCACCTTTGTCCTTTCACTATCAGCCCCTACTTCACAGCATTAAAAAAAAACTCCCCACGAGAAATATCTGGCTTTTTCTGAGCTCGAGGGCTGCGTGCTCCTTACCTGGGGTGGGAGGAGACCCAGGTGATGGGAGAGGCGACCCTGAGGATGCAAAGAGCAGCAGGGATCCCCCGGGAGCCGAGCGAGCGGCCGGCGCGGGGCGGAGGAGCAGAGCTGCCCTTTGCCCGCTGGCCCATGTGGAAGTGGACTTTGGAAGTGGCAAGAGGGAGCAGAGGAAGGGCCCCGGCGGCCTCTGAGCAGGTGTGTGTGGCTGCTGAGGGGGGAGGATGGTGGTGGGAAGCCCTGGCCAGAAGTTGGGGTGGGCCCTTGGTGGGACTGGGATAATGGGTGCCTGGATGTTTGTGGCTGGGGGCTGGTTTAGGGCAAAGGTTTAGCTGGATGTCACCTAGAAAGCCAGACCTGTGTGTCTTCCAGTCCTGAAATTACCCCAAAGTGCCCTAAACTTTGAGGGGGAGGAGTGGGGAGGGGTTCAGACAGCATCTGGCCATCTCCCTGCATTGGGGAGTGCTGGGGGCACTTTGGGTACTCATGCTGCAGGAGGAGACCAGGGGGGATTGAGGGTGACATCCCCCTGGCAGCTGGAGCTTCACCCATGTGCCACTCTGGGCTCTCCTCAGGATTTCCTCTTCTGCATGGCACGGCTATAACCAAGTCTGGTGCCCACTTGGAATTCTTGTTGCAGCTGAAAGGCAGGAGGAAATCCCTCTTCCCACCCCATCCTATAGCTCACAAGAAGAAACCTTCATTTCTCACTGCTTGCTCGTTTCTTTGAGCAAAACTCCTTGTCCTGCCCAAAGCTTTGCCAATGTCCCCTCCCTTAGTGCATATCAAATGGGGTTTCACTGCCTGGCACAGAGGGGAGGGTGATTTCTCACCCTCTCACAGCTTGAGGGGGATGTGAGTGCAGCTGGGAGTGCAGGAGGACTCTACCTGGGTATAAGAGGGGTTTTTAAGGCAAGGACATATTTTATAGCAGGGTCTGTAGCCATAGGGCGAGGGGTGATGGTTTTAAACTGAAAGAGGAGAGATTTAGGTGAGGCATTGGGAAGAAATTCTTTCCTGGCAAAGGTTGCCCAGAGAAACTCCTCATCTCTGGAAGTGTTCAGCATCAGGTTGGATGGGGCTTTGGGCAGCCTGGTCTAATGGAAGGTGTCCCTGCCCATGGCAGGGGTTTAGAACTAGATGATTTTTAAGGTCACTTTCAACCCAAACCATTCTGAGATTCTTGTTCTGGGAAGAGATGGATGTATGTTGCAGTCCATTTCACCCTGGTCTTTTAAGGGGAGCTTCAAGTTCAGGAAGATATAAAGATGACTTTTCCTTGCCTCTGGGTATTTTGGAAAGGATCCTGGATTGCCAGGATGCTCCCAAAAAGCAGAGAGTAGCTGGCAAAGTGCTTCAAAGGGGGCTTTGAGGGGGTTGAAAAGCTGCTGCTCAAACACACTGTGACTTATCATTTGCAGGCCACTAAAGCCATTTGGGGCTTAAGCTCCCCAGAACCAGAGAGGATTTATCTGGCAAGCTTGTGATGGAGCCCTGGGCCCCGGCCCAGCCCTGGGAGAGGCCGGCATCCCGGGGCTCGTGGGCAGAGGGGCACCACGGCCCCGCGGCCCCGCTGCGGCGGCACCTCCTGCACTCAGGGCAGGCTCCTCGGCCCGGCTCCTGGCACGGCAGACACCTCCCTGGCCACCCCTGGGAGGAGGGCCACCACCCCCACGGTGACAGCAGCTACCCCGGCCAGCCCCACTCCAGGTGAGACCCCTTTGATCCCCCTTTCTGGAAACCTCCTTAAAACAAGAACTGCCCCTTTCACTGCTCCCAGGTGACACAGATTGTCAGTAGGTGATGTCCAGCTATTCAAGCAGCCCCATGACTTCTATATTTAAGGCTGTGCAGCGATTGCAGCTCTGATTTCTTCTTAAAACTGTGACTTGTGTGGTTGCTGTTTGACAAGCTCTGTCTCAGCCCCGAGGTGCATTTTTTCTTACAGGTTTGATTAAATGCAGTTCTTTTTTCCTAAGTGCAAGGTGAACAATAAAAATACAAGCGGTAATATAGGAGCAAGAGGCAGCCTGCAAGCTCAGCTGCTGAAACAGTGAAGAGTGGACGGATAAAATGTGGGCTGGAGGATGTTCTCAGTGCTGAGAAAGAGCTTCCAGCAAATCTGGCTTGATTTGCCTGAGTTATTGCCCTCAGTGAATTATGGAGTCGGTACGTGGGGTTTTGTGCTGAGGTCGTATGATGCAGATGGGATATTAGGAAGTAAATTTTCTCTCTGAGGGTGGTGAGGCTCTGGCACAGAGAAGCTGTGGCTGCCCCATCCCTGGAAGTGTTCCAGGCCAGGTTAGGCAAGGCTTGGAGCAGCCTGGTCTAGTGGAAGGTGTCCCTGCCCGTGGCAGGGGTTGAAATGACATGACCATTAAAGGTCCCTTGGAACCCAAACTGGGCATCACCTGAAACTGCAGTGCACAGCTTTCAGGTGGGGACAGCAAAGCATCCAAACCTCCTCCTCCTGCTTCCAGGTGTGATGCTGGACCAGTTTCCTGGCCCTGCCAGAGCAGGGGACCTGGCTTTATTCCCATCCCCTTTGCTGCCTCCAAATCTCCCAAGCAGGAGGGACCCTAGGTGTGGCCCTGGAACCCTTTCTTCCCCAGATCAGCGTGTTGTGTTGTTTTCCAGGCAGGGCTATGAAGACCCCCACTGGCAGTATCCTGCAGCTGGCAACAGGGATGGCTACCCCTACCAGAGCCACCAGTGGCAGCCGTGGCAGGATGACAGAGGTATGGGCTCATGCTTTGGGTCTGGGGATGGAGGCAGCTTGCAGGGGACGTGATGTTTTCCCCTTGGGGTTCTTCTCCCAAGGCTTGCACGCATCCAGAGCTCTCTCCTGCCCACATTCCTGGGTGGTGGTGGGTGCTCTGTGCAGCACTGGCTCCCTGTTTGCATTTAGGAAACGTGACCAGGAGCTAAATGCACACAAGGGATGTTTGATCTTCATGACCACGGCTAAAAACCTGTGTCATTCCTGGTTCCAGCCTGGGTTTGATGGTGCTGTGTGATCAGGATGGCCAGGGCCTCTTCTTTGCTGTTTCTGGACTGGAAAGAGAAAAGGACATCAGTGCTGTGTTGGCAAATGTGTACAAGGCATTGTTATCATATCTCCAGTGTGTTGGGATCATTTGGAAGCAAACTGAGTGGGCATGGCAAATTGCCTGAGTCATGGATTTTCTTCTGCAACCTCATTGTTGCTCTTTCTGAATCTTGATTCTCTCTAGACCTGAGACAAGGAGAGTCTTATGGCAAGAGTTACCGGGACCAGCACTACTACAGGGGCTACCACCCCAACCTGGCCACGGGCCCCCCAGGGCAGGACAGGTAAAGCTGGGAAGTCTGTGCAGCCTTGTGAAACCACGTGCTGCAAAATAAGGGGGTTTGTGGGTGGTTCAAAAGTCTCAGACCTTCAGCATGTCTCCCTTTGTTCCCACCTGCAGGACACAGACCTACAGCTCCTATGAGGACAGCTACACCTCGACTGCCAGGAGGGAAGGGACAGGGGAAGGAGCCCTCAGCAGTGACTCAGGGGAGGCTGGTGGCTGGTCCAAAGAGGTAACCTCAAGATGGGCTGGGGTGGAGGACAAGAATCTCTCAGAGATTTGGGAAAAATCCATGTGTCCCCCTCCAGCTGAGAAAAAGGCCCCTTTGCTGTGTTGCACTCGGGGATAATAATCCCTGGGGATTATTGCAGTGGGTTTTTTGTGTTTGTGTTCTCTCCATCTGCTGGGCTGTCACTCCCCCAGGTGCAGGGCTGTATGCTCAGCCCAGGAGCAGCACAGAAATCCAGGCTTGGTGGGGTGTTCTGCAGTGGAGCTGGGGAAGGCTCTGGAGCACAAGCCCGATGAGGAGAGGCAGAGAGGACTGTGGGGGCTCAGCCTGGAGGAAAGGAGGCTCAGGGGTGACCTTGTCACTCTCTACAACTCCCTGAAAGGAGGCTGTAGCCAGGTGGGGATCAGGCTCCTCTCCCACAGAACAAGTGACAGAACACAAGCAAACAGCCTTAAGTTGTGCCAGGGAAGGTTTAGGTTGGATACTAGGAAAAAAATGTTTTCAACAAAAGGGTTGTAAAACCCTGGCATAGGCTGCCCAGGGATTAGTAGAGGCACCATCCCTGGGGGAATTTTAAAGACATGTAGATGTGGCAGTTGGAGACATGGTTTAGTGGTGAACACGGCAGTGCTGGATTAATGGTAGGACTCAGAGGGCTTTTCCAGCCTTAATGATTCCATGATTCCACAATTCTAGCCTTCCTAGGTAGCTGACAGCTCATTGTCATTGTCAACTCTGTCCACCAAGTCATGCTCCATCACACTTGTGTCCTGATTGCTGGGTTTTGCCAAGAGAAAGTCAAAAGATCAAATCAAAGCTGCTCTGGTGATTTTGCTCCTGGGTGATGCTTTTTTGGGTTTCCCAGCCCCATCTCCTTGGCTGTGGTGAGGAGCTCACATTAGAGCTAGGAAAGCTGTCAGACTACAGCTGTGGCTGATGTAAATGATTTTTCTAAGCTGTTGGGTGAACCCAAGCTGGTGTAGGGCATGAGCTGCTGAGATGGGAATTGGCTGTGCTGTTCCTGCTGGGCACTTCCCTGCAGCAGCAGAGCCTGCCCTCCTGCCTGGGAGCAGGAAATCCACAGAGTCCCTAGTTTTTGAGCCAGGTTTGTGTGTTCTCCCTCCCCTGCAGCCCTTGGGCCAGCCCAGCCTGCTCCTGCAGTACCATGAGTCAGGACTCAGCTCCAGCAGCCATGAGCTCAGCCAGTACATCCGTGATGGCGCTGACGACTACAACCCTGTGCTTCCAGAGTCCTGGAACGTGGGACAAGCAGGTGAGGTGCAATGGGGGGCTCTGACAAGGGGGAAGCAAGGGAGTAAATGGTAGGATACTATTGACTCTCAGCTGGCTCCTCTCCTGGAGGAGGTTGTGCAGGCACAAGGCATGACTGGGGGCTGTGGGGTGGGTGAATGGTGCAGGGGCTCTGCCTGGGTAGGTGTAGGAGCTGCTGTGCACATCTGCTGCTTTAGGGGACAATTCTTGCATAGAGGGGTCAGTGGAGGCCCACTTAAGTTGGGGGACCAGGTTGGGACCTGGCCAAGCCCTCCACAGAGGATGTGGT